AAAACTATTTCACATAAAATTTAGATGTTTTGGGTAATACACAAAAATTAAAGAAAAATGACAGTTCTGGTTAGTTGATTATCCTATTAAATTATGTAGAAGGGAACCAGTTTGCCTTGTCTGAGATAAGTTTGGCTCTGTAAGGTTGAATGCTCTTGCCATTTTGTTGTCCGTAATTGTATTGTCTGCTCTGTCAATTAAGTGTTTTTAAAAGTAACAGGGATTCCATTTGGAAAATGTATTTTACAAAGTGCTTTCACTGTACATTATCTCTCTTGATCTCATCTGTTGTTGATCTTTGGTTGGCAAATACTGTATTTCAATGAAGCTACTAGACCTTCTACCACACACTTTGAAGAAAGATTCATATAATTCTCATATAAATGCAAATTTAAAGTTATCTCTTATGACTTTGAGATAAACAGAATAAGGCTGAAGGAAGATAATAAACCCAAAGGGCTGGAAATTCCTGACAAATTACCACTATTTAAGAAATAGTTTGGTTAGATAAGTGAGATATGGATTAGATAAATAATAGGGCATTGGAAAGAACTTGTAGATCATTGACAAAAATTAATTATGAATTAGTCTCTGTATTTCTGAGCTAAACAATCTAAGTTGAATAATTTTCTTCAGATCAAAAATGCAAAAGCAAAAAATTTTAAAGGCTACATATTTTTTTAGAAATAACAGATAAAAGCTTAAACATAAGTCTCTGTCAACCTGCTCTCCCCAAATTGGCAATTTCAGTTTACGGGTATGTCTATTGTCTGTACATATTAGAATAGATACTCTATTTCAATATCCAGAACATAGGAAATTGCAAAGCTAATTGTCAAGCTTTCCTAATTATTTTTTAAAGGATTCAAGACACAGGCGTTAAGGATAGAGATTTGATTCTTTTGGATGAACACTCTCTTAACGTTCTAGCTTCGTATTGCTTGAATAAGCACTTATTGTGTGGGTGGTGGTTGGTGGGACTCTTCCTGAATTTAGGAAAATTATTCAAAATATATTTAATTCTATAGGACTATAACACTCCTTCTTAGAGCCTTTGGGGGCACCAATAGCAACAATAATAATAGCTGTTTAGAAATTTGGGAAAGAGTCGGCATTTTTATGACGCTTGTAACTCTTTGGATATCCTGTGCGTGGTTATTATAACCAAACTTTTGAGGCACTAAGAATCTTATAAGTAACACCTCCTAGCCACCACTGTCCTTTCCATTTAATGAATAGCCAATACTTGAAGTAAAATATGCCTATTGAATAGTTGCAACTATTTAGTCCAGCCTAAGCTAATTTACCATGTAAGAATTATGCACCATGTAGAGAGACATTATTGATAAATTACACACATGTTTATTTGCTTAAGGGTACACAGTTTACAAATGAGTAGCTCTTCTAGGGCATGTTTGAACAGATGAGTAGGGCATTTACAATGTCCTTTTAAATTACCTTAAATGGAATTCATTCATTTTTGTATTCCTTTTTAAAAATGTGGTTTATTTCCTCAAAGGTTATTAAAAAAAAATAAGGTAATCTACTTTCTACCATTAGAGTATTCACCTCATTTAGCCTCCTCTTTTCACACCCTCATTGTTATGAATACATATTTTCTATTTTAGGAAACAAATGTTATACTTTCAAGAAAATGAATATTTACAGAATTACTGCTATCAAATTATATATGAATTTATCATAAGGAAAGTTAATAGTTGACCTCTTTTGTCTTAGCTTCTATACTTAAATTGGACTCAAACATTCACAGAATTAGATTCAAAGAACATTAGTGAGGTTATCCTTTATGGTAGAAATTTTGCAGATAAATTATCTCATTTAACCTCCAAATATTTTATGAGGTATTAGTATTCCTGTTTCAGAAATATGGTATTTCAGAAAAAGTAGAGTACAAATTAGGTAATATTTACAGTCATATAGATGAAAATTGGAGCAATTACTAGCTAGGAACACAAGTCTTTTGATTCTTTTCAAATATCTCAGTTGCCTCTGTGCTAAAAATGACTTGATTTTAGCAGTAGCAGTTCCTGCAGACACTGGTACATGGGCTTTGCTTTTTCACTTCAAACTCACTAAGGAATTGTGAACATCGAAATCTAGGTCTAATATTAACCTGTGTACTGTTGGTCCACACAGGAAGCCATACAGAACAAGGAGAATATCTAGCCAGTACCTTGAGGTGAGGGATCCAAAAATGGGATTTTGGAAATCCTTCACCAACAGAAGGATTTGTGTTATAAAAAAAATACCCAGAAGATTGAGACCAAACTTGAAAAACAGTAACCTAGAAATCAAAAAGGGTTTTGAGTGAGGTAGAGTGAGAATTTAGTCTTTTCAAAACTAAAGAAATATGAGAAAAAATAAAGTTTGAGTCTGTGGTTGTAAGTTACTTTATAGGTCATCTAGCCCAGAGGCTTCCAAATATTTTTTAAATAGTTGAGTTACTTTTATTCCAAGTAAAATTGTACCTTATACTTAATATTTAACAAATAGCAGTGATATTTTATGGGAAAAATTTAAAACATTTAATTATGACAGATCTCATCAACAAAAATCATGAGGCCCATTGGACAGACACAGGCATTTGAATTACTGATTTCTAAGTGACATTTGCCATTTATATCCAATCAATTTTGGTCTGGATACCCAATGAATGAGTGTGCATGGAATAGAACAGATTTGATTGTGTGCATTCTTCTTGTTGTATTTGAATTTTTCTTGGAAATTCAAACCAAACTTTTGCAAAACCTTGGATTTAGTTCAGTAATACAAGTGAGAAAACTGGGAATCGTGGAGGTCAATTTACTTGCCAGTAACACAAAGAAGTGTGGGTTGCTGTGAATCTTAGCATAGTGACTTATTCTCCTGATATTTTCCCAAAAGGTAACCCTGACTCTGCAAAATGAAAGCATTCATTCATTCTCATAATCCTCCTTCTCTTTCTTCTTTAGCCATCAAAAAGTAACCTCATGTACCTTTACATCACCATTGATTTTTCCATTACAGGAGCAGCAGAAAAGAGTTCTAAACATGGTGCCGAAGACAAGACTCAGACCATTATTACAGCCATGAAAGAAAGAATGAAGATCAGGGAGAAAAATAGGCCAGAGGTATTTGAAGTAATTCAGGAAATGTTTCAGATTTCTAAAGAAGATTTTGTGCAATACACAAAAGCAGCCAAACAGAGTGTACTGGATGGGACATCTAAGTGGTCAGCAAAAATAACCATTACAGGTAAAAATAAGTCTTCTTTAAAAATTTTTATTCCACTTGGAGATTTTGATGTGTCTTAGAAATCACTGCTAATAATAATTACAGGTAAAATTAATAGAATTTTTCTCTGTCTTGTTAGTATTGATAGGTCTAGGTGGTACTGCAAATATCCAAAATATATGCTAGATAAATGAAGTAATTTCAGTCCATGTCTTGTTTTAATCAAAAGCTCTTCACAGGAAAAAAATTTCTGATTTTTAATACATTCACCATACCCCGCAGTTTATAAGCGATTAGTGTTGTTTCTGCCTGCCACTGATAAATTACAGAGTAGCTATTAATCTCTTCAGTCAGTTTTATAAAATGAGAAAGATATTTTATTTACTCCTCATTCAATACCCCTTTATCCCTTTGATCCTTGAGCCAAGGAAATTTGAGTTTAGTGATGTGTAGTAATTTGAACTTCTGAAGTTGTTTATGATTTTAACAGCAAGTGACTATGTATCATGTTAACATTTACCAAGCCTCTTATCTTGCTCATTTTGTATTTACAAGATAAATAAAGATGCTTTTTCAAACTCAGTAGAGTTGATCAATATCGACAGCAAAATTGTCAATAAATAAATCAGTCTGGATCTCAGACCTTTGGATTATGTTGGTTAACTTTTTGTATATTGTATGTATTCCTCTTCCTTTCTCTATCCATGTGTACAGTAATGTGTATATGAGTGTATAGCTACTAGTATCTGTGTGTGCATATTTAAATATACTTGTGTATATGTAGCTACGGTTCATTAGAGGCCAAAGCAAATATTGGTTAAAGGAAGATTTTAATTCTCAGTGTATTTGTGTTTTAAAATCCTGATGATTATGAGAATGAAAGCAACGGGGCTGTATCTGCAAATCCAGGGAACCAAGTGATAGAAAGTATTTCCTTCATTATCATTATATTAAAATGTTTATTTTGGTTTATTTCAGTGGTTTCTGCACAAGGCTTACAGGCAAAAGACAAAACAGGGTCTAGTGACCCATATGTTACAGTTCAAGTTGGAAAGAACAAAAGAAGGACTAAAACCATTTTTGGAAACTTGAATCCAGTATGGGATGAGAAGTTTTATTTGTGAGTATATAATGTGAAATT